GTCGTACTGCCGCGGGACATTTTTGTTAAGACTTTTTTGTTTTTAAGGCTAAGTTATAAAAAACCTCCTTAAAATCCAATTCAAGCAAAAATTCTTGTGCTCTCATTAGCGGAAAAGTAAAGGAGCTTTGCAAGAAGAACAGCGTAGATGATTTGAGAGTTACCATTGTAAAAAGTTTGCTTAAGAGCATGATTTTACTCCTACGACTACGTATTTACGTTTCGCCAAAAATCGTTGAGAAAATGGAAGTTCATTTTCTTGCCATTCTAAGTTGCACGCAGATAGTTATAGTTATCAATGTATCTGCCCCAATCCACTTGATAGCGACCCCTATGGTCGCTACTGCCGCAGGACATTTTTCCGAACAATTCCTTGTTTTCAAGGCGCTATTTTTAGTTGCACGTAGACAATTATCAATGTATCTGCCCCAACCCATTTGCTAGCGACCCGTAGGGTCGTACTGCCGCGGGACATTTTTGTTAAGACTTCCTTGTTTTCAAGGCTAAGTTATAAAAGACCTCCTTGAAATCCACTTCAAGCAAAAATTCTTGTGCTCTCAGTAGCGGAAAAGTAAAGGAGCTTTGCAAGAAGAACAGCGTAGATGATTTGAGAGTTACCATTGTAAAAAGTTTGCTTAAGAGCATGATTTTACTCCTACGACTACATACTTACGTTTCGCCAAAAATCGTTGAGAAAATGGAAGTCCATTTCCTTGCCATTTTAAGTTACACGCAGATAGTTATCAATGTATCCGCCCCAACCCACTTGATAGCGACCCCTAGGGTCGCTACTGCCGCAGGACATTTTTCTGAACAATTCCTTGTTTTCAAGCCTAAATTATATAAAAAAATCCTTGAAATTCATTTTAACCGCGCCTACTTCGCGAAAGTTATGATTTGGCACCCAAAAGCAGAAAAGCAGAGGAGGCTGGTCTCAAAAGAAGGACAGAGCCACGGGCTTCACGCAGTCTTTGCTAGATTATCCGATGGAAAGCTTCAGCGAGTTTTATATCTAGTATCGCTATAAAAGTGCCTTCATACCGCGGCGGCAGCTGCCGCTGGTAGCCCGTAGCAGCCCGCAGTAGCCGCCAGCAGCCCGCAGCCGCAGCTGGCCGCTTTTGTCACAGAAGCGCAAAATCATCAAATTCTTGGTATTTTAAGCGCAAACGCCCACGCTTTCCATCTTACACGCTTTTTCCTCCCTGTTGCGGTTAAGCTGCAGTTCCACTTTCACACACTACATAATTATACAAGATAAGCACCGGCCAGAGATATAATTGAAGCAGAACCATGCATATAAAATAAATACTACAGAAACTGGACGCATCCAAAGTCAGACGATCACATCGCAAAGAAACTTTGGCAAAATATGGTTCAACTGCGAAAGGGAAACTGAGCACCAATAGGATAACCAATCTACGGCAACAAGATTCTAACAGCAATGGCCACAAGTATGATATACGAGAATCGAATGGCAAAAACAAAATCGTACTTCTCCTTAAAAATCAAAAAGAGCAGAGGAGAAATGGTCTCGAAGGGAGGGAAGCTGCAGCAGCTTTATGCGGCAGTTTTCTGCTAATAATTTCTCAGTCTTAATGCTAAATTATACAAAAGCTCGCTTGAAGTCCACTTTTAACCGCTTTTACTTCGCACAAATCACATCTTTGCCTCGGGAGCTTGGTCTCTAAGGAAGAAAGGTTCCAAGAGCTTCAAGCGGCAAACATTTCTCCTAAGAATTTCTCAGTTTCAATGCTAAATTATACAAATCTCGCTTGAAATCCACTTTTGACAGCTTTTATTAGGTCTTAAAGAAACTTCCCGGGCACTTGCAAAAATTTTTTTCAAATTGCTGTGACTTCAAACAGATTGATCCTTCTTTGAAGCTACAAACTTCTTTGAAAAGACAATTTTGTTTACAACATATATTTATCTTGCTGGCTTTTCAGCGTTTCGCTGCGGTCCACCAGCATGCGCAGAAGGGAAAAAAATCGACGCGAAAAGTAACCTATTTGCGCAGAATATCTCAGGCATGATCAGGGCTGGACAGTTCAGATGCTGTAGTTATATAGAAGTCTGCCAGGGCTGTCTTGGAGATTATTTACGCCTTTGAGCGACTATCTGCAAAATAAGTTTTTCCAGAAAGATTAAGAAATCGACCATTTTTTGCCTCGAAAATGCACCATTTTTCGACCTTTTTTGACGTGCAGATCATACATGCCTTGGTATCGATGAAAATTAAAAGCGGCTTCGAAAAGATTAGGCTTTCTTCTACCGAACAATATAAAAACTTTGTGTCAAATACCGACGGAGCGGCAAAAAAAGTGCCCGGACTCTTCCTTTACAATGGTTCGCAGAAATTATACCTCTGCCTCCTATAACAAAAAAGCAAAGCGAGAGCTTGATCTCGAGGGAAGGAAGGCCTAAGGGCTTCATGCGGCAGTGCATTCTGATAAGAACTTCTCAGATTCAATGCTAAACTATACAAAAAGCTCGCTTGATATCCAATTTGACCGGTTTTACTTCGCAGAAATCATACCTCTGCCTCCTACAATAAAGAAGCACAGCAAACTTGGACTTGAGGGAAGGAAGGTCCCGAGGGCTTATGCGGCAAGGTCAATGCTAACTTATCAAAAATATTGCTTGAAAGCCATTTCGGCCGCTTTTACTTTGCAGAAATCGTACTTCTGCCCCCTTTAGCAAAAAAGGAAAGGGGACTTGGTTTCGTGGTCTCGGTCTATGAGGCAGGATATGTGCTAAGATTGTCCAAAAGAAAGCTTTGAGCGGACTTGATCTCGCTTCAAGAAATGACTTCGCGAGATATTATAAGGAGAGTGTAGGACGGTGCATGATCGCGAAGCTTGATGTGTTTGCGGCCGTCGCACATTCCTGAAAGTCAATCTGAATTTTTGATTGAATCAGCTTTCTGCATAGATGACTGCTTAGGCGATTTCCATTCTTAGGAGCTGGGGTTGGGTCTTTGCAAGAAGAACAGCGTATATGATTTGGTAGTTAGTCGCTGTAAAAAGTTTGCTTGAGCCTGATCTATTACTGCTTGCATTGCGAAAAAGATCGTTGAAAAAATGGGGATTCATTCTCTCGCTATTCTTAGTTGCACGCAGACAGTTATCAATGTATCTGCCCCAACCCACTTACTAGCGACCCGTAGGGTCGCTAGTGTGCATATAGCACATGAACTAGATGTGCTCATGCACTCTGCTACAGCCTTACCTTTTTAAGCTTCTTGATGTTTTTTGAGGGACACGTACAATTTGATAACTCCCGATTAAAGCGCAGAAAAATTCGCCCATATTTTTGAGTTTTTCAAAACTTTTTGAGAAACACGTACGTCATTGCTGATTCCCGAATGAAGCGAAAAAATATTTGCCACATTCCATCATGACAGGGAGTTGCGATTTTTAATTAACAGATAGTTGAAATCAGGAATCTTGTCTATAGTCACCTAGACACCTAGACAGCTAGGATCAAACAGATTGGTGCTTTCAATATCAGAAATTAAATGCCGAATAGATAAAAGAAAATTCGGGCAATTTGAAATGTGAGTTCTTGGAGTCTCTTCTACTCACAAAATTACTGTGTTGAGAGTGTTGGAGTTTGGTGGGATATGGCTGAGTAAAACAACTGCCGGCGCGCTGCGCAGAATATCTTACAAAAATTTTTTGTTAAATTCTTGTTACTTTGACTTCGCTCGAAATATTTGAGCATGCCTTTTGACGTTTAATTAGTATTACATTTCAAAACTACTGATATTTTCAATGTTATTTGTTAATTCCATGACGGCTCTTTATGGCTCTATATTCTTGTTTTATAGTGGTCACAGACATGCGATGCAGACTTCAGCTGATTCTTCCTCCACTACTCATTTTCTTACTATTTTTATTCACCAAATGCAAAAACAGTGCCTACATTTCTGACGATCGTGGCACAACGGAAGATGATATGTAGTTTGCATTTGATTAGAACCTTACAAGCATACCTGGTTCTGCTCGGTCTCAACCCGACAATCAGAAGATTGAAAGTCCCAGCTCTATGTGTAGTTTCCTGTTCCTACCACAGAACAGTGAATACAGCAGTTGAGAGATACGATGGCTCGTGCTAGTTGACCATTTTGACTTTCGTTCACGACTGCCATAGAATTTGGATATTCTGGGTTTAAAATACGAAAAACCAGTACGAATACATGCATAACGCAATTTTTCCACAACCATCAACTCTGTATTCTAGCTGCTCTTGAGCCTCGCATTATTTTTAGAATTTTCAAGGTCACGGCAGAAGAAAACAATTTTCAAAAAGAATTAGTATTTACGCTTATCGATTCAAACCTCCACAATGAGAACATGTAGCCTTTCAGGCTTTGCGCAGCAAAAATTGGTAAATTGGCAAAAGCTATGGGCTACTGCCTGATGGAGTGCACAATAACCACTTTTACATAGATATTTTCCACGGCAATAAATGCAAAACATGAAAACGAGGGTGATACTCTTGCGAACGGGTATTTAGGGCATGTCCACTCACTTTGTACAACAAGTTCAGCTTCTTACTAAATACGGAAGATAACATGCTGACAAGCGCAATTGATGGCTTTGATTAGAATGCTGATTTGTAACCAAGTCTCTCACTCTCATCAATTTTGGCACCATAAAGTAGCACTAAAAGAACTCCGGAGATAGCGATTTGCACTTTCTACTCAAGATAGATATTGCCTGCCTTCACATTTATTGAAGGAGAGTTTGGCTAGGTTCGGAATGGCTCTACCTTTACAGACGGAGAAATTCGTAGTCCGTTTCCAAATGATTGGAAAATGAGTGAATGAGCAACAACATGGTTCTGAAACTTCTCAAGCTAGAAAGTAAAATTTCGGAACAGCAGTGTTACAGGCAGAAGAACAACGTTGTTACAGGCATATCTTCTACACCTTAGCCAAGCAATCACATCAGCTCGTGTGTTCCTTTCTACAGTTTGATTCGAAGTCATTTGTTTATGATGACCGGTAAGCGCAGTCAGGCACAGCCGACGACGTTTTCGTTAGTAGCGGCCTACGAATACGAAAATTATTCCGTTGTCACCACCGAAGCAGACGGTCGATATGGGTAAGCTTACTAGCGAGTTTTTTGTTCATCGGAACACTTAGCTCGTTTTTTAAATCAGAAAAATTGTTTATTGCCGATATCTGGATGTGGATAGGAAGGAACTCAAGCCAGCAACTATGTCTGTGGTACTTCAGAAGTCTTCCTTTCTTTAAACCTTGGCATGTTGATGGTATATCGTTTAACTTTTTTATGCCACAACAGGTTTTTATCGGAACTCTTGAAGTGATTGGATCGCTTTCAGGCCTCTGAAGACGGCGTTTTTCCGCCGAAACGTAAGGCTCAATAAAGAGTTCCGATAAAAACCTGTTGTGACATAAAAAAGGTTAGACGATATGTCTGTGGTATTTCCAGAATTTACCGCCTATTGCTGCAGACGAAGAGGAGCTTACTATACGAGCATTACCGAAAATCTTTCCCATGACATTGTCGATATGGTACCAGTGGTGGATAGAACAGATAATCGTAACTTTTTCTACTTTCATGAAATTTTGGCACAGACTTCATCCCATAGGAGTTGCAAGATTACTGTGGGAAGGTTATGTCAAAAGTTGAACGAGATAGCAAGGTAATTTTTTTTACCAAAATATTATAATTCGGAACTGTCAAGAATTACTTCTGCGTGTAGTCAAAATCAGCCATCTACTTACTTATCACATCCGGGCATTTTTTACAAGCAAAACCTTTTCAAATCTAGCAGTGAAATTAAGACTGATAAGCTGGTTTGTGTGACGCTTCTGCATAATCTTCCAATTCTTTTCGATTAAGTTGAGTGATTTATTAGAATTTTCAGATTTCTAATACAACTTATCTATGTGCGTGAAGCCGATGTATGGCACGGATACAAAATTTTTGCTGTTTGCGGAATTTGTAGAGCATTATAAGCTGCAGGGGGTCCATCACTTCTACGTGTATGTAAAGGATTTGGACACTTATATACAAAAAAGGTAATCCTTGGAGTTTTCAAAAGCATTTGAAGGGGATTAAACAGAAAGACTTGAAGATGTAGTTGTCAGGTCTACTCACTAATATCGAAAGCATTTTCCCATATTTGGATAATATATTTTTTGAGAAAGGCTTTTAACAGAAATGACTAGTTATGGGATTTACATCTCACCGTTAGACTAAACAGACAATTAGTTGCTGAATCCGTAGTGAAAAGGTTTCAGCTCTGTTATGAAGAAGCATGTGACTAGCTACGTCTGATACATATACTGCTCATTTGTATAACAATTGGAGTTTTCTTTATTAAAGACAACTTAGCTACTGATTATTATTAGAAGAATGGTGAAGCGGAGATCATATTCTTCAGGGAAGAGCAGGATCGACCAAGCATCGAATGGCACTTAGTTGGCATGCAGGTAAATAAAATATGCATGGTGTCCCAAAAAAATGTGCCCACTGTTTGATCGTCAGAAACTGATCTGTCGCCGACCTTGAGGTGCCATTCTGTAGGGTGAGATTTATCTCAAATTTTCAGTATAAACCGAATCATCAGTCGCTCTTCCTTACTGTAGAAATACGTTATGAACTTTCAGCATAAAGCGCCAGTGAAATAAGATTTCTGATAGAAATAAATCAAATAAACCTGGAAATCTGCGTAGCAAGGCTTTCAGGCGTGCTGATTTCATTACACAACTTTTCACCAGTTTTTCGAGCTTTTTGAGTGGTGTAATAACATTTCTGATAAACATTGGAAAGCCAGTTGCAACCCTAAATTTGAATTACGTATGAAAGAGCTAGAGCGGAGTGCGAATTTTATATTCAGAATCAGCGGCTTCGATTAGTCAAATAAAAAAGTTTCTCGATTGTTTGGCTTTTTTTTTTGAGAAATACCGTTTTTAGTCGCTGAACCTCTAGAAGCTTCCACCGTAATCCTACAGTAATAAAGAGTTTTTGACAATTCAGTTCATGCTCTAAATCTAAGGAACCTTGTTTGTTAGAACAGTATCTCAAACTCGGGGAAAAACATTCAAGCAAGAGAGTTACTGACGATCGTACAGTGTGCACATCTTTTTAGGACACTCTGTACATGGAATGTGATTTGATTGTAGTTGGCATACTTCAGGACTGTATACATCGCAGCAGGCAACATTCTCGATTCGTATACATCGCAGCAGGCAACATTCTCGATTCGTAATCTTTGCTGACTTGGATGAGCGAATACTGCCACTTAGAAGTTTGACCCTTAAGCAGCTTATTTTGTTAGCTTATTCTTAAAGCTTTCTTTGAAGAATGGCGGAGGTAACGACCACTTTTATGCAAAAAATTACTCCAGATAAAAAAAGAGCAACATTGCTTTTTGCAGGAATGAGATGGAAAGTCGACCCGCATGCGGAATGATGCGATTTGTCACACAGTGGGTGCTGAATACAGGTGACAATCCGACCATTTACGAGGTCCTGTGATTACAAAGACTAGAAGTGAGATGAGAGGTACATGTGGGATTATCTCAGGGAACGAAAACACTCATCAATCATCTTCCTACCCTTGTCTATCGAAACACATCATAATATGCACCTATAGGTCACATAGCCAAATGCGCTGTAGACCCCAATAGGGTTTGATTTGCGCAGCTCCTTACAGTTTCTGATAAATGTCCTCTAGGTCTTCCTGATGTGGGTACAACATGTGGAAATATATTTTCCTACATTTGAAGGCTACGAAGTACCTACCACGGACGTAGTGATCAGGTTGTTTATCATCTCACTTGTATTTCTTGAGGGTTTGATGTTTCCTCAACCACATTTAGGCATTATCGCGACATAGCATCCGGAGACTGGGCTAAGCTTTACCTTTCCGAAGTGGTAACGTTCGGTCCTTTTCGCATGACTGCTTATCCCGCTGACCTCATGTCTAAATTGTTTCGAAATATGAAATATGTCCTCGATGACGTGTATGAGCCTTCGCAAAGATAATTTTCTATTTTTGTTTTGTATCACAATACCAGGCATAGCTAATTTGAAAGTGGTGAGATCCTTTCTCTTGGAACATTCTAGGAATCACAGTGGAATTTTTCAACTATCAAAAACCTGTGTGGTTTATTTATTGATGTGAAATCATTTCTCCAACTGACTTGACAACCGAATTTAAGGGACAATTTTTGAGGGACTCGATATTTTGGATGCAACATTTTGTATTGCCGATTGAGTGAATCTCTTTCATGCACAGCAAAAACTCACTTACAATACTTAGAATGAATAACCGAATAAAATTTTAATGAAGCATCCTTTGTTTAGATTCGTAGACAAGCTCAGAAATTTCATTTCCAATGCAAAACAGATCATTGAATTTTGTTCCTCGCAACTGAACGATCCTCAAGTTTTGTCAGTATCATAGTAAAGCGGCCTGCCATATCTCTCTGCCACACAATCATATGCGCATTTCGGCTACCTTGCTTTTTTGAGCATAGGTAGTTTAAGTACAATGCGAAGTCATCGATGGTTTTTGTTACACGCCTATTATATCAATTTTGAAAGTGGCACGGCGCAAGCATCTATCTTTTAAAAAATCTACACTACGCACGGATAGTTGATTTTTATCTTTGCTGAGTACCACCTCCAACAATTTTTTTTGTGCACTACTATCTCACCAAGCCAATCTAACACATTTGAAAACTTCAATGAAGTAACTTTCTTTACTGAAAAGCAGCTTGTTCTACCTGGTAAAGTCCTTCAAAGCTTCTTAAGTTTGTGATCTTACTGGGTTTGAGCCAGGCCAATCACTACTGCTCGTGCATTTATCACTTTGGGCTAAAGTCAGTACTTTCAAAGTGTAATCAGCGACTGATTTAGAATTTTCAATATTCATAGCAAGCTGAAATCAAGAAAGTAATGGCACGTCATTTTACCCCGAAAGTTTATCTACTAAAAGACATTTTTTAGAGGTATGAGTGCAGTGTGGTTTTCGCTCAACGCAGAGGTAATCTTTGACTTACCACCAAAGTTAATGTCAGAATAATTTTCTGTAAACAACACACTAGATTATTTTGGGCGGAATTATTAATTCCCGCTCTTCTTTTGAAACCATGTTGCAGCTCGAAATTGTTGCTGTGGCAGAGAATGGGATTTATAAGGCAGCTAATGCAATTTCAATAAAATTTCTACGTTGTCTGATTTTCGACTTTGAGCAGCCACATGAAATCTCAGTAGTACTGTATTGCAAGGATTGATCCACTTCTTCCACTTTTATATTTTTCTTGAAATGGTACTTGCAGTGATCACTTGTACATTAGGTTATCCGGAAAACATGCAGGTTCCTTGTTCGCTGCAGTGTGAATATAAAAATGTGGGAATTTGAAAGGGCAAAAATTAAAGTTTGGGGAGAAACCTAAAAATTTCTAGATGTTCAATCAAATTTTTGCCCACAAAACCCACAACCTCCAACTTGCTCAAAATGACTTACTACATACCTCATCTATACATATGTACACTTTCTGTATTTTTTCCATTGTAGACTTTGAGAAAATGAAAGTTGGCATGTTCTAGCAAAATCAATGTTAGAGTGCTCTATCATAAGTGATTCTATACTACAAACCTTTGTTAGCACGTAAGTAAATTTTTAGCCTTTTTCATGGCTATTAACGAGAAATCTCAAATTCAACATTGAAAGGCCCGAAAGAACAAAAAAACCATTCTCATGTTTTTGGCCTATTTTTTTCAATTTCTACCCAAAAAAGCCCGGCAAGTGTATATATGTATATATGAAAGTCCGTTGTGGATACTCGATCAAGTTGGGGGTTTGCAAAATTATTTTCAGACAAAGTTCAGATTTTTTAAATTTTGAATTTTTTTCTCAGTGATCAAATTTTTGCTGTTGTTTCAATGCCGTTTAGTAGAACTTGCTTTGCTCTATCAAATGGTATGTTTCGCACGTTCTTAACTGCTGCGATCGAGTAGAGGACCTGGATTAATTTTCGGACAAGGTAATAGTGAAGGATTGACTAATGTTACACATCCAATGCCTACCGGTTGATAAGGTTCTTGTGTATTGTCTTTACTTGCGTGTAACAGTTCACTCGCTTGCGTCATGCGCTGCGGGTATTTTGTTCTTAGTTCATATTCTACACTTTTTTCTACAAATCCCAAAACAAAAAACGTATGTTGTGTAGATCTGAGTGTAAGCTTTGATGATGAATTTCTCATCTATTTCAGCATGATAGATGTTTCGCTGAAAGATCACAGCTTATTTTTATTGTACTTGACAGCAGTTATATTTTTCCAGTTATTTGGAAAAGATTCATATGATATGATCTTACACTGCAACGCTAGCTCAGAGCTTAATGGTAAGTTATGTAAATTACAGAATTGATTATTGCAATTGTCGATATGTAATTCTGGCGTATGTTTTGAGTTGTTTGACTTTCCACTGAAATTCACGGAACCCTGCATATTTGGTAGTGTTTCCAGGGCCAAAACACTTGTCTAAAAAATGTGATTCCGAGCTTTTACAACCTCTTCAAAGACAGTGGCTTGGAAAATGGACCTCTATCAGATTTGGGTGAATGTTAGGTAGTAGACCCTCCAACTACACCGTAGCCCCAACCCTAGCTTCGGTTTCTTGCGTTGAGTCCTGAAAGTGCGCTTTAAACTCCTCCAGCCTCGCCCACTTCCATTAAGTGAGAGTCATCGGTGGAGTCTTGAAACGAATTTTCAGGACTCAGCGTAGGAATTAGAGGGTGGGGTGAGGATGCGGTGTTGAGGTGTCTAGTACTTAACGCTAACAAAATTCGACTAGTGTCCATTTTGCCGATTCACTGCCTTCAAACAATAGCAGGTTGTTCCGGATGTAAATACTATATCGTTCTGAAAGTTATTTTCGTTTTTTCAAGCTATCAAACACATAGAGTAGTGAGTGGGCGAGCATTAACCGTTTCCCGACCCGTCTTTCCACCTCATTCGTACACGTTTCTGAAATGATTACCTTGTGATTGCTAAAATGATCGTCAAGCTTTCAAAACCCTTAGTTTTCATGTGCAAATTCAGCAGTCTTGAAAATTTTTATTGTAGGCTTTTGAGAGAGGTTCAATAACATTTGAAGATAAGTAAAATACAATATAATAAGCTATCTGTGTATCTTCCACTTGTTATTAGTTATCTTTTGGATGATATTTTTTGAAAGTCTGTAATTCTGCGAAGCCGTGAAATACACAATGCAAAAAGCATTGAATCTTGATTCAGAAATCGCGAAAATCTACAATAACTCGACGCTAATTGTATAAAGCAATACCGCTTTGAAATTCATTTCAAATTTTCCTTGCCGAAGTTTCTTATCTTTGAAACAAAGTTAATTATGATACAGTTTTTCAAAGCTGTTGACCAAGGTTGGTAAAAAGACTTTATTTAACGACAAGCCAACGTTTCGGCGGTCCGTCCGCCTTCTTCAGGGCTTCCTCAGCCTTGCTACAATACCGCTCACATTTTTTGAAAATTAGATACGATTGTATGGACATGTATGGACATGTCCATACATGTATGGACATGTATGGACATGTAGCGACATGTCCATACATGTCCGTACATGTCAATACATGTATGGACATCACCGTCGCGTGGCCATATCTCGCTTCAGAGTGGATGAATTCTGAATCCAAAACCACTATTCGATTCAGCTCAGTGCGGAGAATCTTCTGATATATTGGAAGTGGGGGTACGATGTCTTCGACATTCCGTTTCCAGTTTTTTCAATTTGTTCTGCGGAGGTCCTTTCGCGAATATGTGAAGCAACGCCTACCCGACATAGAAAACTTTACTAAGTACTATTCGATAATACTGTTCTTGTAGATGATTATGCGCCAAAAATAGGCTCAGACTTCTCTCCAAAGGAGACAGAAGCGTAGGTGAATTTTGGAAAAATCACCGTTTTTAAATTCTACTCGCCATAACTTCCTTCGGAATAAGCATATTTTGAATCCCAAAACAGCGCCTTGCTCAGCTCATCAAGGCGAATCTTCTCATATACAGCATGTCCTTAATATCTCGATTTCAGTATTCTTGAATCTTTCTGAGGACGTCTTTTTGCGAAGGTGTAAAGCAGCGAGCATTGTCCCGAGTACATTCCAGCAAGGATTTTTCGATAGCGCTTTTTCTGTAGATTATGATGTGCTAAATATTCGCCGCAGGTTCCTCTTCAAAAGAAGTAGAACGGCTGGTGAATTGTGGAAAAATCTTGTCGTCCCAAATTCTACTCGCCATAGCCGCAGGATATGTGAGTTTCGAAATCAGCAGGTCGCATAACCTCTACGAGCAAGTTTTCCGGTATGTTCGGGTTATTCTATTTTTTCTCGTTTTACGCTCCGGAAGCTCGCCGATGGATTTTGGTCAAAATGTTGATGCTCTTGAATTGTAAGAAAACTTCGCTTGTAGAGGTTTTCGAACACGCTCTTTACGAAAATCGTGGTCTTTGAGGATTACAGGGTCTTTTTGGAGAGATACGGTGAGGTGACTGTAAGTGCATCACGAAAGTGCGTAACTTTGGCCGCACTTCTCGCGTATATGTAAGAAAACTTTCTTGCTTGCTTTTCTAATTCAAAGTTACTAGGAATTGTGCTATCGAATGGTGCATGACTCAGGCTCCAGTCTGTGAAATTCGCCGAGTTACGAGCCTACGAAACACGTCCTCATGATTGCCCAAAATGTAAAGATCGCATATCTCGTCGAAATTCCTCCGTGAGCGCTTGTATGAAGCTCGTTGCAGATATTATGTTCGCTTCATCGAACGACTCCCCTGTACTGAATATGGTGCTTGCGTCTGCTTCAACTGCTCAATTGAATATCAAAGCTATTTCGTGGCTAGAGCTCAGAGCACCAAATCTAGCACAATAGGATCCATTAAAAATGTGGAAGGATTTGATCAGCGCGTTGTACAAGCGCTCACGGAGAAATTTCGAATATGCGATCTTTACATTTTGGGCAAAATT